GGAGCTCTGGTTGCCAGGCACATCTGCAGAAAGCCTCTGCCTCTCCCCATCACACATGGCAAGGTGAGAGACAAATAGCATAATCTGCTTTTGCCTTTCAAAAGAACCTCGTGATAGCTTTTTAAGCTTGATTATGCCACAGTCTTTGTACTTGTAAAGATTGCTTTCTTAATGAGGCAATAAAGGTCAAAAGAAATTAATAGCCAAGATAACAGTTATCAGTCTGATATAAATACAGCAGTTTATAAAATTTGAAATACACCACAATCTGTAATGGATAAAGGAGTATAAAGCCAAAGGAGAGTTTAAAGGGAAGCTGATATTAGCAACATCTACACTCTGAGTTCTCTTTTTAAGCAGATGACTGGGCCACAGCTGCTGTTTGCAGTTGTCACTGCTGAAGCCAATGTTACCACTGACGCTTAGAGTAAGGACATCACTCACCCAGCATGGCTCAGCCTCTCCCATTCAATTCTTCAGATGTGAACCAAAGGCTACACGCATGTCCTCATACAACAGGGACCACATTTTAATGCCATAGGTGATACCACAGTGCCAGTAACCACTGAGTAAGAGGCACACTACAACAATCTCCCTCACCTGCACTGTTGGCTTTCCTGTTCTTCCCAGGACCCATCTTCATCTCAACCCTGCAACAGCTACATCACTGCTTGTTTGCCTAACTCCCCAGACACCTAGATTTCTATTTTGCAAGTGTCTCAAAATGTCCAAGTGGCTCCTGCATTATGCAACGGTGACTCCAAAATTATTTTACCAGTTCTGCCTAAATTCCCTTGGGAACCTGTTTCAGGAAGGTACAGGTCACATGTGTAGTAAGTTACACACCACACACAGAGACACACACACCCCCCCTAAGCCTTTTGAGAGGTGCCTCTGGAGCTTGGATATGGAGAAGCTGAAGGCAAGAGCTGAACCACTGCAAGGGGTGAGCTCCAGGTACAAGTCTGCTTTCAGCCCTTCTTCCTGATTAGAGGCTATTCCAGGTGATGGGTTTTCATATTAATAATTTTCAGGATCCTAGTTTACCTCCATGAATGTCATACATGCCTTAGGAGCTAAACCTTGCCTTCCAAGCAAGGAGGCAGACAACCAGCAATTTAATTGCTACAGAACCCAATTTCCACTGCTGAAGTTCCTCATGGAGGCTTGATCTCACAGCCATGCTTTAACAAAAGTGCCAGTGTCATTTCTGCCACTTCCCAAAACCTTGGCTCTCCACTACTCCTACGAGATTTAAAACCATTTGGAAAAATTGGTGGTGTAGGTATACCAGCATATTTTTTGATCTAATGGGTTTATCTCATTTCCATAAAGATATTAAATCTCTTTCACTATCACCTCTCTTCACTGAGGAATATTTTGCACAGTAAATCACTCATTTGCAGTTGCACACACTCCCAGACTCCTCTTAGACAGGTTCTATTGGCTGGATTGGGTTTTTCATCACATTTCAGTCCTGAGCTTAAGGATCATTGAGTGTTTCCAATGACCACATGATGCTTTTTTTTCCTTTTAAACAGATAATTTATTTGCAGCAGTAGTGTGAGATACAGTAGAATACAAGTGGGAACCAGATTGTCATGTATTATTTTATAGTGTATTTTTCAGTAAATTACTCCAAATGTTACATATGGAAATTTTAAGTCCTATAACATTAGTTCTGATATCACGGTGACTAAGCATTTCAACAATAAGCAGTCTTGTGGAAAAAAAACAGGTACATAGTTTGGTTTACCCCATTTGTCCTATAACAGCCTACAACAGTATGATTTAGATCATACAAGTAAGAGTTCAGTCTGTATTTGCCTCTTGTGTATTTAATAAGTCCTCAAGAAACTTAGACATACACAGGCTGATCTGAGATACAAAAAATTGTGCACGGTGTTTTTGTTTCTCACTTTGGAAAGAAAGGTTCACAATGTAAATTCTCACATATTTTATTTAGATTTAAAATATTGGATGGTGTATAATATCCTGAATGTGTTACACAGCCTGCAGATAAAATGTTGCAGAGCACAGCAGCAACTGCTCTGCCACCGAGCACTACAAAGGTGGAAATGTGAAGGCCATCTAGCTTTCTAAGCATATACTGTGGCAATTATTAATAATCAGAAGTAAAACACATTTTGAAAAGCTGATAAGCAAATACACGTGACAAGCCTAAACACTGCATGAGACAAGTCTCGCTCCTGATTCCACCAAGTGAATGAAAGATACAGCTCCCAAATACTTCAACAGGAGAAGGGTTATGATGACAACTCAAATGCTGCAGGGTTTATTTTTTCTTTTTTTTTACTGAGAATAGTTAGAATTTGGATGATAAATGCCTGATAATACCCTAAAGGTATTTGTGTTCCTCAGTCTAACCACCCTTAGCTTCCATCCTTTCTTTTCTGAAATCCAGATGTTAAATACTTTGAATGCATTTGTTAAAGTGCAAATATAGCACTGGAAACAATTGTGCCATCATGGAGGAGTGAGACAGTCATCCATGGCTTTTTTAGGACCCCAAAATGACAACATGCCTGGCCGACTTCCTGTGATATCCATCCACCATCATAAACAAAAGACATTTATCATATCCTACCCCAACCAAGAAACACTTTAAGAGGACACCACATTATGCTATGAGGTGCAATTTAGAGATTAAGGTCTTTAGAACCTAAGTCTCACTCGAACAGTACTAAAGTACATGTTTTAAAATCATATTAAAGAAAAGTACTTCCAATCCATAAAAAAGTCACACAAGTCTATTATTTAACCAGATGTGGCTATTGTACAGTGGTGATACCACTGCAAAACAACTTAGAGAAGCACATGTCCCTGCAGGTCAAAGCTAAATCAAGTCCTAAGGGATGCTGAAGAGTGACATTCCCTTACATGAATGGCGATCTCTTGCAATAGGGCAGAGCTGTCTGTGATGACAGGCACTCCTAAGGATTTAGTTTAGGGTGGGTTATAAACCTCAAGTCAAAAGCATCTCCTTCCAGAATTAAGTATCTTGCTGAAAGACTCTGATTTGGGAAAAAGCACAGTGAAGTGCATGACAGAAGCCATCAGGCCACAGAAAAGCTCAGCATGACTTCTACTGCAGTCAGTGCCAAACTTCTCCACAAGTCTTGTGCTGTGGGAGCAGGAGCAGACCTACCGGATCTTGCTTTCCTACTAACGTCCCATAGCATGGGAACATCCTATACTGTCTGGTGGTCTCTATTTTAGCCTCCTTTATTTCCCCTAATCTTTCCAGGAGTCTCAGTATCTTGTCTCCGATACTCTGTTTGAGCAAGGAGTTCTCCTGGGACTGGTTCTGAGCATTTGCCACACTTCATTAGCAGTGTTTGAAGGAAAAAATCCTCCCAACTGAGGTGGCTAGTGCTACGGTCTGTTACGCTCACCTCAGCAGAATCAGGCTGGAGGAAAATATGCATCAAACCATTTGCGTAAAGGACCCTTAATCTTAAAACAACACACAGCTTCTTATTTAAATAACACAGTACCATGCAAAATTCACAAATTAAGAGCTTCTGAGGAGTGTCTTTAAATACAAAAATGCAAACCTTTGATTAAAAATCCACCAGTGCTGTGTATTACTCTTTACCTGTTTAGGCCATGCAAAAGGTTTCATCAAAGTGTCCCTTTAACAAATACAGCATTTGTAGAAAAAGGAAAAAGATACGCAAAAAAAGCAAAAAAAAAAATCCAGAACAAATGCCTAGACAAAAACAAACCCAAGTTTTTATCTTTCTCATTGAATCTATTTAGCATGGTATTTACCCATCGGAGGAGAGGTATGCAGGGGTATGAACACCACACCAGCATTCCCCTTCCCCAGGAGACTTAGTCCTTGCTGTGGGAAGGAGCTCTTATCTGCAATTTGACATTGTCCCTTGCAGGTCCCTAACCATGCTCATGCCCTTGAACTGTGATGCTGTCACTGTGTCAGGGCACAGCTAAGGACAAATATCATCCGTTTTACCAGACTCGACAGGCAGCTGCTGCTGTGATACTGCAACAGGTATGTGATGGGGAGCATGTCTGGCCAGAGGGCTCATGCGTTGGGAGTGGGACTGTCGCTGGGTCACCCAAGGAAGCCCTGTCCCGCACCCGTGTGCACCACCTGGGGGGATGTGCAGGGGAGAGATCACGACCTAACTGCAAACGCATGAAGGTGTCATGAATCTCAGGCTCAATGCAGGGAACTTCCACCACAGTCTGATAAGGTTTAAGACAAGAAAAGTGTGAAGGTAGGAAAATGAGCATGGCAGGACGTGCTGGGACTATACAGTGCTGCAAGCTGGGATAGCAGAATTGCCCTTGGATCATAGTGCACGGGTTTGAGGGTAGCAGTGGTTTGTTATCTCATTAGAAACATCTAGCTCCCTGTAATAAAAATTGCACGTACAGTATGTTAAAGAGCAGACAAGGCTATTATAGCCCACAGTCAGGACTAATGCTTTTTTTCCCCACTCTTATTGCTAAATAGGCAGGAGTAGCTTTTCCATTTCAAAATGAAAACTATACAGTTACACTAATGATACCATGCTCCTGACTGCTCTGCAGCTGCATATTGTAAAACTCAAAGCCACTGATCAGAAACAAAAGCAGTAAGTCAGTAACAGCTTTACAGAAATGTTCTGCTGGGGCGATTATGTCTGTCAAAATACTTCCATAAGGGAAGGGCTGATTACTGAACACATTTCATGTCCCTTTCCCCCTAGAACCCCCTGCAAGTGCTTGCATCTTTTTCTAACAACAGATAAAGAAACCTTTGCCAGAGGTGTAATTAAGACTATATGAACATTGGAACAAGCACGGATCCTGTTCAAATAGCTAGGCATCAGTTACAAAAAAGAAATCCAGAAGCAGTTATATTTTTATCATCCGTTATAAAAAAATATTTCCCAGTGTTTCAATACAGTTAAAAGTTAAAAACCCTCTACATTACTAATAAATTAAAAACCCCGTATCTCCAACCATCTTGTAAGAAAGTAGGTAAGTAATTTAAACCTTTAGTTTACATAAATTAGCACAGAAATGTGTATTTGAACAAGTGCACTGAAAACAGATATGCCTTCTTCTGATATCTCTTATTTGAGTTATTAAGTAACAGGAAAGCCTTTATATTCTTTGCATGACCTTGAGAGTCTGCTAAAACTAAATGGTCAACAGTCAAACCTCAGGAGAATATTTCATCAGATAGACGATGACAAGAGGGAGTATGAAGTACAGTCAAATGCTTTGCAGCCTTTTTACAATAGACTCCAACATTCAATTTCAGTGTATTTACTCCCAGGAAGGGATGAAGGTAATAGATTTATACTGCAAATCACATGAGTGAAATTTGATGGGCTTATAGAATTTATTTTTTTTTAAACCTATTAAAGTATAATTTTTTCAGAGGCAGTTTGCAAGGCAATAGTGATGTACATGACTGGAAACAACACTCCTTTGCTTGACAGTGGATAAAACTCTTAGATAGTGTTGGTGCTGTCTCTGAACCTCACAGAGAATGCTTAATGGATAAGATGTTCTAATCAGAGCTGACAACAGCCAATTAAGTGTCAGAAGAACAATCTGATAAGTAGGTCTTCATGTCTATAGGCATTTCCTGATATGTCTTAACTGTCAATCTGAATGTTAAACATCTCTATCTTAATCTCATTATTGACTGATTTATTAAAGGAGAATAGTTTCATCTCTTTTTTTGACTTTGGGGTTGTTCCAGAAAGAAGGAAAGGAAAGTAGTAGGAACAACTCCTGATTTGCAACAATAGGTGGGGAATCCTAATTATAGCAAAGACCTAATCTTCCAACTGAGCAGGTGTATGGTTTGGTGACACCACTACCACCCAGCTGCCCACACCATACCTTTTAAGAAATGGTAGACACTCAGTCTAGAGGAGATCTGTTTCTTTAATGGGTGGAAGGATATCTGTGGACAGACTAGTAGGCTGCTCTCTGCTTTCAGTGCTTCTTGCTAGTCATACAGAAGACAACACCTCGCTGGATGGATCTCTTCCCTTCTTGTCCTCGCCCCTGTCAATATCAATCACATGAACTATGCCAGGCTTCAGGATCAGGTCGTCGGTCTCTACATGGCTCCTGTTATCATCCACTTCGATGTATTTTCCTTTGGATGGCTGGGTAGCCTTACTGAAGACATCTTTAAAACGGCGCTTGAGTTCAACGTCTGGGCAATAGACATACTCATAAAGAGCACCAGCAAGGACTGCTCCTATTATTGGTCCCACCCAATATACCTGCAAAAAGAGGTGAAAAAAGACAGGCATTAAGCTCCAGAGCAAACAAAGATGCCAGGGTCTCAGAGAAACGCATGTCATTACAGACTTCACTTACAGAAAAGTTTCTGCAAAACGTCCTGGCCCAATTGTTAGAACCAATTCTCCAGAAATGCATGGTCACATAGTTCCCTGGCTTTCATGAACAGAGATGAAATCTGCCATCATACCAATTTATGAGGCAGAGAAGCCTAACCACCCCAGGTTTCACAGATGTTAACCTCGAGAGCAGCAACTAAGTGATGCTCTAAAATCACATATGAAGTTGGCCAAAAGGCAGTCTCTTAGGTAGTTAATGATATTAGTCCTAGATCTATTTTTTTTTCCTTTCTGCCTCCTCCCAGTCTCTCTTTCACACATATTTCACCCCCTTCAGAAATACTCCCTAGTCACCTTGAACCTAGTCACCTAAACCACCTTGCATCCATTGGTGTGGCTCTCCCCTAAAATCTCCTCTCATGCCAGCACATAGGGAATCAACAGGCAGTGGACCCCACAGACCAGAGAAGAGGGACCTATGCTGACATGGCAGTGAGGTACAGCAAGTATTTCCCCAATATCTGAAAATAAATTTCTGTCTACATGTCTGGTTACCAATGCTCTGGGGCAGACCGGCTGAGTGGCAGTGAACCTACGGACACTTTCCACGGACAGACAGACAGGCATCCCCTCCGGCTGCCCTAACTTCTCCTGTTAACAGAATGCAGCTTTTTTTCCCTCTCTTTATGGGAGATTTAACTTTTTTTACTTTTAAACTTTGCCCAATAAGGCAAAAGTACAGGTTCTTCATCATCCCTATTTGGATTAACCACAGTTATAACATTTGAGACAAAAAAGGCCACAGATCCTGGTGGAGTCATGCATGACTTGTCAAATACAGCTCCATAGTCACATAAGACATATAGCTGCTCTGGCATAGCTTTGCTTTTAAACTAGCAGGGGTAAGATGATTGAGAAGCAGACCCACATCTTCAAAGATAAATAGTTTTGTGGAGTTCTATTGATCCATCTCTTTCCAAGAGGCCTCATCTAGAGTTTTATCGCTCATGGCCAGTGGTAGACAACATACATAGACTGCTTGCAAGATGACACACAAAAATAAACACCAATGTAGAAAACAGATTTTCTTTCTGCATTTTCACCCAAGGTGACAATTAACTTCTAAGGAAAAAAAAAAAAGCAACCTTTCCCAGTGTAGACACAAACAGTTCTACTTCAGTATTTCAGACTCACATTTCCAAAATAATCCAAATTTGCCTTCTGATCCTGTGGAATCCAACATGCAGTTAGCTACCTGATTATCTAATTTGAATAAGCAAATACAACCAGCACACACAACTTTGCAGGGTACCCATCTACTTCAGCATGACAGGCAGCAGTTCTGCAGTTAGTAGGTGCAGAAGCCCACAGGCTCCAACAGCGTGCCAATGTCACTGCTCTAGAGAAGGAGAAAAGACCATCTTTCCAAGTGACCAGGACAGCAGCTAAGACTTTCCAACAAGTTCCTCCATGGTACATTTGCTTATTGTTTACAGCTTTAATAATAAATTACAGGCTCCATCAGAGTATGGATAATTAATCTCATGAAAAACTACAGCAGTTTTTCATATGAACAAGCCATTCACTGCTAACTGGGTAAATCTGCCTCAATAGGATGACTTGGGGACAAAGTTACACATGGTATCATGTTTGCAGAACTGGAGCCTTAGGGCCTGAAGACAATGCTATTTCTGTTATTAGCAATGTGGGCTTCAGACTTTAAAAACCAAGAAAATCCTTATACGCACTGTAATATGCAGCTCTTAAAGTTAGCATTGAAACTGTCCCTAGAAGTGCCTTCCCTATCTTTAATTAGGTGACACTGAGCTGCAATCCATCCCTCCCTTACAAAATGTGAATTAGTTTTTAATAAGTGTAAATGTAGTGGGATGCTATAGAAAATGACTGCATCATTCACAATATGTTTATCAAATTGTTTCCTATGCAAATATTCCTAGTTAAGCTGACACTTTCAAACTGAAGGAGGTAACATCTGGTCGGGTCTGCAAAGACCAGACTGCAACCCCTTCATGTTTCACTGCAGGCATTTGCTGAGGCAGGTTCTCCCTGATGGGGATCACAGAGGGTCCCTGCTCTCATTTTAAATGTCTGCCCCAGTTAGCTGCAGAACCAGGCAAAACGTGAAGCTGACAGAATTACTTCCATAACTTCTCACCAGCGTGACCAAGCAGTTTGCAATCTGCTTTGGAGGATTTTTCTTTCTAGCAGTTCAATTCTTTCAGTCTTGCTGGATTGCTCTTTTTGTTTTGTACTTTTTGTATGATTTCCTCTCCATCCCAGCTACTACCTCTGCAAAATGGCCCCTGAACAGCAAGACGCTATTCCAGTGTGCTCTACACTGCGCTGCAGTCCCAGGTGAGGAGCATAATTATTCCTCCTAAGCTTGTGGCAGGTCAGCACCTGTCTTCCTCAGTGATGGTCTCTGTGGGATGTACTGGAATAGGTAACTAAGAGCAAATGATGTATGAAAAATCCCGATAGCTGGTTGTTGCTGCGGTGAAGAAGGAAGCATGAAAGCAGAGTTACCCATTGGTTTTCCCATCTCCCCATGATGACAGCAGGTCCAAATGATCGAGCAGGGTTCATACTGGCACCAGTGTAATTGATCTAAAGCAGAGACAAAAGCGTTACCTGTTATTAAGCTCTTAAAGATAGTTATTTGGTTTCTCCTAGTGCTTGTGCTATGGGGATACCCTGGTTTTGCATGGCTTCTAATCCTGACAGCACGTATTGTCGCTCTCCCCAGTCTTATTACAAAATTAACAAAGTCATCAGATAAACAGGCAGAAAACCTCTAATGCAAAACCCCACCCAAAGGTACCCTCCTGCTACTGCAAAGGGTTTTGGCGAGGATCCATAAAGAATATGGCAGCTATATAGCTATAGCAGCTATAAAGGCCACAGAAGATTCCATTTACTTTTGATGTAGTCATAGAGGGACAAGAAGTCTATTTTTTAAAGAGACGACATTAACTTACAGCAAACAAGTGTCCAATTGCAACAGAAAATCCAATCGCTAAAGCTACTGAACCAGTGACATCACTTCGTTTTGAATCACAGCTGGCAAAAATAGTAAAAACCAGCTGGAATGTAATTATCAACTCCACCAGGAGTCCATGGCCAGCGGAAAGATCCCCATGTACCTGAAAGAAGGAAAAGAAACACCAGAGATGAAACAAAAGTGGTTTTGTAAATCAGAAAGCCAACAAATACATTAATTATATTTGAATGAAAGGTGTTTCTAAATAGCACACAGTGAAAGACAAGAGTGAAATTTAGAGGTACAGGTCCCCCCCACTTTTCTCCCCTTTTTTTTATTTGAGAGCCATTGAAAATTACTGCTGGACTGAGAACAGAAGGCTTAACAGTAACACCCAACAAGAACTTCAAAGTTAGACTGCAGAAGTACAGTTTATTTTTACACAGGGATTTGCAAATGCTGCACTTCCCCTTCACCATTTTTTTTCCTTGGGAGCACTGTAATTTACTATTCAATTATAAATTCGTTAATTAGCCCTGACTTAATTAATTTAAATTTCAATTAAAAATTAAGCAGTGTGCGGCTCAAGTGCATTTTTAATAAGTCCTGCAACAGGGCTAACTGATGGCATTCCTTATTAGTTTAGAACAAAGCTGAAATCTAAGCCACAATCTCCTTCAAAAGTATGCCATTTTAAATTGATGTTTTTTCAATCCCCATCACAACAGCATAGAATTAATTTCCCCCTCCTCAGCTCATATAAAAATGTCATTTCACACACATATTATTTAAATTTTGTGTGTAAATTAACACTACCTGCTATCATCAGATTTGGGGAAGTTCTAGGAAAGAGAACTTCTATAAAAAGAACAGCTATAGATATTCCACTGCATAAACCTGTCCTAAAGAGAGCTTTAAGCCATGTCTAGATGTTGCAAATAAACCAGCAAGCCCTTAAAATCTCTGTTTGAGCTCTCTTTATTCTGCACGACGCTGATTATATTTTCTTAGGCTTTACGCTAGTCTAGTTCACGAGCTGGAGGAGAAGCAATTACCGCAGTGACTCCCAGGCCTCCCACCACGCTCGGTGGTGTGACGAGGTACAGGATGCCTGCGCCCACGATGGCTCCCAGGCACTGGGCAAGAATATAGAAGACAGACTTGGCGAGGCTGATCTTCCTCGTGCAGACCATTGCCACGGTCACAGCAGGGTTAATGTGGCCTCCACTGATGTGTCCAAAGCACTGCACCATGGTTGCAATGCTGAGTCCAAAGCAGAGGGAGATAAGGACCATGTCTACAGGCAGGGGCTTCTCTGCTCCACCCCAATTGATTGTGGAGCCCAGGCTTAAGAGGACAAAAATGAGCATGGCCAAGAATTCTGCTGAAACTGCTTTCCAGAAGGGCTGAGTCCAGACTCCTTTAAACGCCACCATGATGCTCTCACACTTCCACAGACGTCCACACTTACTGAAAAGGCAAACAAAGGTTCATCAGAAGTCACCAAATAAGCCTTAAGCTCTCCCATTAGGGGGTTGTTATCCAGCAGACTTTGGAGAGAAGGCAGCAATGCTGAGTGTCCCTGGTCTGGGACAACCACAGACTGCACTCTCAGAGCAGTCTGCCCTTAAAACATGACCAGTGTTCCAGCATCTGCAGGACACAAGGCGATTAATCACCTCCTGCGATAAGTCTGTCTGTATAGCTTCAGTTCACAAAAAGGAATCTCTAACTTTTGAAATAAGTCAGTATGAAAAAAGGTGTATTCTTCTACACTGGTTGACTCAGAGTCTGCAAAGCCCTACCACTTTCAGTGGCCTGTTGACCATCACACTCATTAAATCAGTGGGTACCCTCTTTTTCTGAGCATATCTGTACTTTTCACAAAGCAGGTACGATAATGGTTTTGATACCAGTGCAGCACTGGGAGGTTTCCCTGGAAGCTATAAGAGAAAGTCTATTTGTTTGAACATTCACACAAACCAATATTTCAATTTATATTTATGCAAAGAAGAGTTTCTTCACTGTGGACGTAGGGTAAAAATCAAATTCAGCTAGGAGAACAGATGCAATTCTAAATTCTGACCTTTAAATCAATCATGTAACCAATAAAGTGCTTTCTTTTGGTCTAAGGGTACCAAGCAAGCTCTAGAATAGAGCAATATTTTTTGTATATGTGATATGTAGAACTGTGTAGCAAAGAAAGAATTGTCTTAATTTTCTTCTGCATCTAGAGATACTATTTTTTAGTCTCCACTGCCTTCCTGATGAGTTACAATTTTGCTAGATGTTCAGATACCTATGAAATTGGGTCACCAAAGAAGTTATTTGTGGTATTAATAAATGAGGAGAATAAGCCAAAAGGGAAGCATTTTAATGAGGTTCTAAGGAATGCTAACAAGATTCTTCTCTAAAAACAAAAGCAAAAAACCTCTAACCACTCTAAAAAGTAGAAAACAAAAGAAAGACTATTCAGCTGATACATTTAGGAACAGAATTTCAAGTGGAAGATGGATGAATTTATGCTCAGTTATCTAAGGTAACTGAGCTACAATGCATATTTAATACCACTGACACCAGAAAGAAGCATAAAAGGCATGTCTGCACTTTTCAAGTTATTGCAAGACGAACAGCCCATGAATTTCTTAACAGTTGCAGTGAGTTACAGAAAGGCAATTTAATCCTGTGACTGGAGCAAATAATTTGTTTCCCTGTCTCATTTCTTATGCTAATTTACTATGTATTTTGGATAGGTCATTTGAACTCTCAGTTCTGGAGACTCTCAGATGAGAACAAGAATTACATTATCTCCTGCAAATGGCTGTTGTAAAGTTCTTGTGAAATGAACCGAGAGACTTGAGCAGGACTTACTCTGCTAGAGAAGAACTGAAGCCGGAACCTCAAAAGATAAAAGTCATCCCCAGAATTTTCTGATTTTGGGTCAAACTCAAGACAAACGGAAAGATGTTTTTGTAAGATCTCATATTAACAGTCAGTTAATGACCAACTACCTAGACTAGACTTTTTGTTCAAAATGTCTCCAAAATCATTGTCTCCCCCAGTGCTGAAGCTCACAGGTATTTGGTCATCCTTACCTTTGAACCCCATGCCCAGATTCTCACTGAAACCTCAAGTCTTACCTCTGACACCCTTACTACTTCCTCACTAATAATTTATTTCGGTGTCCCGAGTGAGATGCAGGCGCTATATCCATACTGAGAAAAGCTAATTTTCCCAGGGCATGTCCCAGGTGAACATTTCATATATGGATGAAGCCTATCCTGAAGCCCATGGAAAAGAAACCTGGATGCACTGACAAGGGAAGCGGCACTCATCCACCCTTCTACCCCCAGCTCAGTTGGGATGCAACCTGGATTTCTCTGAGCTCTTGCTTGCTAAGCAAAATGCAAGCCCTGATGTTATAATTCCAGACTTTTCCAGTTTCCATCCACAAAGGGCACTATGGGGGGGAACTTAGATTTTTGGAGCATCAGAGAGAGGAATACAGTGACTCCTGACTATCTGAGTGTGCCTGACCATCTCTTTCTGTATGCAGAGAATAGTGAGATCTGCAAATTAATTATACTCCTTCATCCTGGAGAAGTGGTGTGCAAAAGGGTGTTTGTATTGGGTATTAAAATTGTGCAGTTAGCTTCCCTCCAGTTGTGCAACATCTTGGAAGGACACATTGAGAGTGAGCGTGTGCGCACGCATGCACACACGTGTGCAAGAGAGAGACGGGGAGTATCTGGAAGACCACTCCTTCTATGGAACTGCTGCTGGGCCTGTCTCAAAGGAGGCTACCACTTATGAAGGGCAGATCTCACACTGCTTCTCCAGCTGAGACCATGTCCAATCAATTCAGCCAATATTATTTAAAGCCCTGAAAATACGAAAATATTGCATGCAAGCCAAAAGCATAATTCAAACAAAGAAACTCCTTGCTCATCAACATAAAGTTTCTGTTCTTCTAAAACAGCATGATACATGGAAAAAAATCAAAATGGTACAACTACACTGTCAGCCATAGTTAGTGATCTAAATAGATAGATTAGATAGTTAGTGATCTAAACATCTATTTTTAATGCACACATGTTTTTTGGAAGCTGTTTTTCTATGATTTGAACACCCAGCAAAATGCCCAGCTGTCACCGCCAAATTTTTCTTTCAAACAGCACACCTTTCTTCCTCACAGCAAAAAAACCCCTACAAATGTTAATAAAAGCTTAATACTGTGTTTGAGCCCTGAGTGCAGGTTTTCACTTAAATCCAAAAGCTATGAGAGCAACTTAGAAACCAACACTACCTCCAACATCCACTATTTTTTCAGCATGCAGTTAATTTAAAGGCTTGAGATGAGACAGAGAGAGAGTGATGGTTGTGCCAGGTCTGAAACCAAAATGTGATTTTCCAGCAGCTAAGATGTGCCATCAAATTTGCAAAACAATTTTTCAGAGTAATTGTTGTTCATGGTTGCCTTAGATAAATACAAAATACAACAGAAAACCAGAATGACACTTTCATGTTATGGTCACACATTAATTTCACATGTGGCCACACTTTAAATTCTCTAGCCTGGACTACAAGATTACACAGCAGACTGGGTCTGACAGGATACAAGGTGGGTTTTGACAGGTCACGTTGCCATCAGGACTGCAGACATGATTATGGCTTCAAAGCCATAACAATATAAATAGTAACAAAGGCTTCAGTACAAAAGTTAAACTGCATTTTAAAAATTATTCCTTTTCTAACTAATATCACTTCAAGGAGCAGAGTAAACAGCCTGGACGTGGGCTTGCACCCAAGCACTTCACACAACACCACTGTCACAGAAAAGTTTTGTAAGCGCGGCAGCTATTTACAGTGGCATCTCTGCAGCAAACTCAAATACTCCCCGACCTGTGCTGGCACAGCCCACTGGAGCTCAAATGAACATTAGGCACCCGCTTGCCAACTTCGGGGGAGGTTGGGGACAGGCTACTGTTGCAGAACAAATGCACCATCCTAGGGTTTGATTATAACCATTTCGCCTAATTTTCTAATATGACGTTGAACGAACGACTGATAATCTACAGGAGGTGGGAAGGGGAGGCTTGGGAGCCCAGTACTGCAGCTTTTTGGCTGTGCTTCTGTACACACTTCTCTCAGTCGCACGACCACAAGCGCTGAATAAAACAAATTTTTCGGGTGTGGAAAAGGAGGGGGGTTTCCAACCATGTGCCCCGCTTCGCACCTCTGGTGTTAAAACCCAAGGGCGACCGCAAGGCTCCGCTAGCGCCTTCGGGGAAGGGGAGCCCGCTGCCCTGGGAGCCATCCCTCGGTGCAAAACGCCGGGAAAAG